CTGCAAGGCAAGAGAAAAAGGAACTTGTTAGTATGCACTTCCAAATGAACATATCTTCACGTACACCTAAGAATTACACACACAGAATAAGATAAGCATCTCGAAGTATTTGAAATTAATAAACAATGATAAAAGAAAATGCACAAAAATATACAGCTATATGGACAAACTGAGACAGGAAAAATCAACAAATAAATATATGCACCAATTATACGACCATACATTAACACAATAACATGTCCGCATTTCACAACCACAACCCTGCGTAACACGAAACTAACACCTAAAATTCTTATATATAAAAAAAATGCCACAACCAGGATTATAAAGCACATTTCGAAAAGCCAAACCCAGTGTCAGCCAGCGAAATTCCTCCCCGCAAAGTACGAGATGGACAAACTTGCTTGCTTGCTTGCTTGCTTGCTTGCCTTACCTACTCCTACCTGACCGCCCGCCCGACCTCCCTCCTCGACCGCCACCCACGTACACCTCCCCCCCCCCCTCCTCCCACTCCTTCTCAACAGGTGCAGACAGGTCAGTTTATCCTGCATCACCCAATACCCTTTACCCCTCCCCACCCTACTCCCTACCCTCCCCCATCACCCACCATCTACCCACCTACCCATAATCCCTCCTCCCTCACCCTACCACTCCCCACTACCCCTCCCTCCCGTACCTCCCAATCCCCACAGGTACCCCCCCCCCCCTACCCCGCAAAACGCCAAGAAGCGGAGGAAATGGGAGCGTCGTTGCTCAACACATCATTCAAGGTTGCATCTCATTCTTCCTGCACAGCCCCCCCCCCCCCCCCGCCTAAACTCCCCAAACCTCCGTCTCCCTCTCTTCTCTCTCTCTCTCTCTCTCTCTCTCTCTCTCTCTCTCTCTCTCTCTCTCTCTCTCTCTCTCTCTCTCTCTCTCTCTCTCTCTCCAACTACCTTTTCAGCAATTATATTAAAATAATATAACAGTAATAGTATTAATGAAAACAATCATTACCATTTCGACAAAAGCAATAATATAAAAAATACAAAACTAACAAGAAAATAGTAACAAAAAGAATAACTGTAATAAGAAATAATAACAAAAACTAACAATCTCAGACAATAACTATCAGTAATAGTGATGATAATAACAACAATAAGAATAATAATGACAATGAAAAAGACGCTTATGATCAAAATACTATCATTAACAATAACAATATCAACAATAAGCATAAAACCAGCTACAATAACAATAACAATGCAGAAACATTAACAGCAATAATTAACAATTATGGCAATTATAATAATGATAATGCTAATGATAACAATGAATGAATGATTATAATAGCAATACTAATAATGTCAAAATCTCGAAAGGTGTGGCAATAGCAGCAATAGAAGCAAACGAGCAATAAAAACTGGAAAATGAAAACGGCAAAAAAACATGTAAAACAAACAAAAACAACAACAGTGAACATGGTACACTAATATCGACAACAAAGGTAAAATCTAAAAAGATAATATTATGAAAAAATAATAAAATACAATGACAATAACCACCATCCGCTCAAAAACACACCGCACTAAAAATAACTACAACAATGACAACAATAACAATGTGTAACCGTAGTAGTAGAAACAGTGGTATGAAAAAAATTACAATAATAACGGAAAAAATATTAATAGCTACAAGTGCTACACGTAACCCTGTGGTAAGGAAGAGGGAAGAAAAGACGAAAAGGGGATATACCAAGACGACGAAAACGGCGATGGAAGCAAGTAGAGGAAAACATGAGCAAGATCACGAGGAAAAAATACAAAATGTTTAAGTAAAATAAAGAACATACACAGACTGAAGACAGGGACACACAGACAGACCGACAGACACTCACTCACTCACTCACACACACACACCACACACACACACACACACACACACACACACACACACACACACACACACACACACACACACACACACACACGTGTTCTCCTCGCCCCAGGGACGCCTTCTAACCCCCCCCCCTTTCCTCCGCCCTAGGCTCTTTCCTCTCACTCTCTCTTTCGACGCGAAGTCCTCGGAGCATAAACCCCAGAGCATAAAGAGCGTAAAAAAAAAGAAAATGGAAAGTGGAAATAGAAAGGCGACGAGTTTCCAGCAATCTGGGGGAGAAAGGGCAGAGAGAAAGGGAAGGAGGAGGAGAAAAGGAGGAAGAGGGAAGGAGGAAGAGCAAGAGTGAAAAAAACAAAAAGATATATATAGAAAAAAAACAGATAAAAAAATATAACACGACCCAGACACACGGGGCGCCACTCCCCCTTCCCACAGCGACATGAACCAATCAAGTTCCCCAGAATCAACATCGCCTTAGATATCCTTCCTCTCCGACCCCCCCCCCCTACCAACCAACCCCCCCCACCCGGTCCAGCCCCCCCTCCTCCCCACCACAACCACATTCACCACTCACCCCCCCCCTCCTCCTCTTCACTACACGTCCGCCGCGTTCTTGACTCGTTCTCAGACACACCTTGAGTCACGCCGGACATCGAGTACGTGCGTACGTGCGTGCGTGCGCGTGCGGCGCGTCTGTGTGAGAGAGAGAAGGTGACGAGGAGGAGAGAGAAGAGGAGGAGGAGGCGGAGGTGAGGAGGAAACGAAGAGAGACCAAGGGAAGAAGAGAACGAACGACAAAACACAAGAAAACAAGTATGGGCCACAGAGAAAAAAAACAAAAAGGATAACCCAAACAACAAAAACAAACAACAAACCAGAAAAAAAAATAATAAATCCCCCTCCATTTACACGAGCCACCTCCCCCCTTCCCCCTTCCCCCAGTCCTCCGGAAACCCCACACTGCCCCACCATCCCCTCTAAGCCCCTCATAATCACCTCCCACAACCCCGGCCCGGGATTCCCATGCAGTTTCCTCTTCCTATGGCAATCGCTATGCTGTGCTAGGCTTCCTCGGTTCTCCGTGGGCGGGGGCGTTGCGTGAGGCGACCGGATGGCGGGGTAAAACGACGTAGAGCGGAGGCCAAAGCGACGTGGGACGACGTACGACGTGTAAACACGGGCGAACGACGACGTAAACACGGGCGAGACGACGACGGGCGAGGGACGACGACGACGTAAACCGAACGAGTGGCGATCAAGGTCTATACAAGTACTTATATAGACCTTGGTGGCGATGCAAAACGAACGAACGGCTTCGCAGAACAAACAGGGGCGCCGCTGTGTGGAGGCAAACGAAAAGCAATACGAAACTAAAAGACAAACCGATGTTATTTTTTTAGACTAACGAATACCAAAGGAAGACAAAATAATAACGGCCGAACGAGGACCATCACACCAAATGAATATCAATCAAAACGAAACGACTCCCCCTGAATAACGAACGCAAAACACAAGGAAAACGAAGACGAAACAAGAGCACAACATATAGGAATATGATCGCTTAGAGTAAGAAAACAGTATATTAACCCTACGTGACCGAAACGAGCGGCTTAATCACACTCAAACGAGCGAACAATCCGATTTGAGGATCACTTTCGAAGACAATCAATCCATCAATCCAACGAAACAATCAATCCAAACCTTGAAAAATTACCATTCAACAAAATCGAACGAAACGCCAATTCATTCTCTATTTATTTCCCGGAACTGAATAGCTAACTTCAAGAAAAAAAAACGGGAAAAGCGGAATACATAAATACATAATAATCAGGAAAAAAAAAGTACAAAACCTGAAAAATACAAAACGAAACAAATCAACCACGAGAGCCAACTGGCCCGACCTGCAGCCGTCGCCGAATCTGATAATGAAAGCAGACCCCAAGGCATCCCCGAATCATTTAGCTCTCTTCATAATTACCCAATCATAAACGTATCAGCCCTAATGAATTTTCTGCATACAAAAAAAAAAAAAAAAAAAAAAAAAAAAAACAAAATCAAGACTAAAAACAAATAATAATAATAATAATAAAATAAAAATAAAAAATTAAAAAAATTAAAAAATAAAACAAAAATGGAACGATGCGCCGCCATTCAACATCACGATATCACAACCAAAAATAACAATCAAAAACATTAAATCTCAGAAATAATCACCAAGAACAAGATCAAAGCGATAGATGCATGTGTGATGTACCCCCCCCCCCCAGCTGCTGCATCATGCTACCCAAAACATTTAGTTAAAAATAATAGTAGCGATAATAACCACAATGTTAATTATATAAATCATGTCAATAGTAATATAATCATGCTCCATTACAATTTCCATGATAATGGTGGTCTGATCAATACAGATTATGACAGTCAGTAACAACAATAATCTTAACAATAATGATCATATTAATAATAACTGATAATGATAATAAATATAGTAACAATAATGATAACGACCATAAAAATTACTCTCATTATAAAAAATGGTGGTGGATGATAATTACTATTACTTTATGAAAAATATCAAATTATTTTTTAATATTGTAGAATAATAGGAGTATCTAACCGTAAATTACATTTTTTCTTTAAATCTACTACAAAACACACAAAACACCAGCTAATAATTATACTCATCAGTTACTTCATAACAAAAGTGGATAATGTTTACCTCAAAATGTAAAAATAGCAACAACTGTGGCAATTTGCGGTGCAGGCAGTATCCAGTACAAATAACAGCAATAGAAGAATTAACAACACTAGTAATTGCAGAAATTAAGACAAAAAATGAAGGTTATCACCAATTAGGAAAATAAAACCTGATCCCAAGATATATACTATAACATTACCTATACCACAACTAGTAGACTACAAGCAATAATTATCATCATTATTATTTTCAATTACAATAATATCAATAATAAAACTAACAGCAGCAACATCAACAATACTGATAACAATAATAAAAATATAACAAGATTAGTAATATTAATAGAAATAATAACAAAAAATAAACAAATTAATAAATTTAACAACAAACAATTATAAGAAACAACTACCACCACCAAAAATAA